GGGGGGGCCCCCCCCCCCCCCCCCCCCGCCCGGTACGCCTATGAATGTAAGCTTTCTAATGCTGTAACAACCCACAAGACATTTAAACGCCGCCAACATACAAAAATATACTTACCAGCCTTAATATAGAATTTTTCTCGAGTGAGTTTTTCCCCTCCTATCTGCCTGACTATATGAACACAAATTAAATGTTATATGCGTTAGCTGGTTAGCTGGGCTTATATGTATAACCCCTTAAAATGAGGCAATCATGCATCTGATGGCATCTGTACTGTTCAAAAACTCGTACCAAAAATCTCAAAAGATTTGTGTACGGTGAATCATCTTCACAAAAAACCCGAGCTTCCGGACCATATGTGTTTATTGACTCAAGCCCCGTATAAAGACGAGCGAGTTTTCCTTGAAGAGTTTATTCGCTCGTACAGTATGTACGTCGAACAAGTTTTTTTGCATGAATTTTTCCTTGACAAGTTTTTACGAGCCCGCTTTATTTCAGTACGTGAACAATGTTATGATAATTTTCGTCCAAGCCACTTCCAACAAAATTAAAAACAGTTGGAACTGTCTTACCACAATATAAACGATATTTAATGTCAATGGGCGAACACTTTTCCTTGTTGAAGAACTGGCATGACCAGCTTTTCAACAAAGCTCCTTGCCGTGCACACGAACAAATGAAACGTGTCAGGGGAAACTTGCTTCTCTGTACGTGGCTTCTTTTGATTTTAAATTTTAGTTGGCCACCCATTCTATACTATATACCTATATACATATAAAATGAGTGGTCAATATTGAACAATAAGGCAAAACTAATATATTTAATGGACCAATCCCACATTAACCAAAATTTTGAACTCAACAAGTCTAGACAAAAATTTCATCACAGCTTGAAAGAGAGTCACAAAATTAGTAATATTCCAAAGTTTCGTTGCGAAATGTTGTAAAATGCTGATAATGTATAGCCTTGCGAAATTTGCAATTTTCAGTCATTTTGTATTACAAACGGGAAATGGTTACCACTTCCGTGCGTAATACAAAATGACTGAAAATTACAAACTTCGCATGGCTATATTATCCGCATTTTACAACATTTCGCAACGAAACTTTGGAATATTACTAATTTTGTGATGCTCTTTCATGCTGGGATGGAATTTTGATTAATATGGGATTGGCCATTAACTCTCATCGTATATGCAGGGGTTGAAAAAATGTTTTATTTTCTGGGACCAAGAAAGTTTTCGACAGTTACAGTAAATACTAACTTTTCTGAGTTATCGACAGTTATACTAACTTACAACAAAACAATTAAGGTTACAGGACACCCTTTTTGGCGTTTTGCGGAAAACCGCTACTGCGCGCTCAATATCAGTCCGATTTTAATCACATTTTCACCAAATGTTCGCCAGGGTATGCAAAATATGGTAAAGTTGTAAAATTAACAAACAATAAAATAATGTAAGAATTATTCAGGAAAATCTTAAATCCCGGTACCGTTACGCTTTTGAGTTGTGCTCCTGCTGGTTTTAAGTTATATTTATGAAAATATCATTTTTATACAGTAAAATAGTTGTTCTAAAAAATTGTGTTCGGAAATTTCTGTTTATTTCGTCATTCCGCTGATATGGCGATTTCTTTGACGACTACAATATATTTCTGAATTGTTTGAGTGAATTGCTCTTTATTATTAAAATATCCAAAATTAAAAAAAAGCCGAACACAATTTTGAAACTGACGTCTTTAGCTATGTCCTGTGAAAATTTGAGAAAAATTGGTTAACACCCGCAGGAGCACAACTCGTTTGAAAATCAGTAATTACCGTAAAATTTTTCGGGAGAAAATTGAATTTGAATATTACATTTTCAATGTTTTTCTTATTGCAGCGAAATGTATTTTATTAAATAACTCTGCGAGTTTTCAACATTTTTCGTCCAAACTTGGTCAGATAGTAGAACTAGTCTAATGCTTTCATGGAACCAATAAAAAAAATTTAGGCAAAATTAACACTCAAAGGTGTTCTGTAACCTTAACTGAACTGTTTTTAATTCTAACAAAGAGTTAAATCGAATGGGTTTATTGGATGCTTATAGCATGTAACACTAAGAATGTATCTAGGTTTACTGTTTGAGTGTTTGTGGTAGCTTGCAATCCAATGTACATGCAATAGGCGTATTTCTTGGGTTCACTATATTGTGCTGCCTGACCTGGTATTGCCCTGAGGTTGAGTTTATCTGCAGTTTTATTTCTTTTGGTTTGATATTGCATGATATTTACATTACATTAAGGATGACCCGCTGTTTTTCCCCACCCCTGCATTGTAACATTGGTCAAAAGACTATATAAATAAATCATTGTGTTTTGTTCTCGGGTTTAAATTAGAAATGTCAAATATATTTTTACCTTCCTTCAGAAAGTCTGCATGCATATTCTTTCTGAATGGTCTGTGTAGTGCCCAAGGGAGAATGCAAAGAGGGAGGGGAGTTACGCCAGATATGAAACTGAATTGAAAATTTGGACCCGCGTGTTACTGACCATACGAGCTCGAACGATGTCAAGGAAATATTTATTATAAGACTACTTTAAAGGGAAGTGAAACATTGAAAGAACTTTTGAAACTATATATTAACTTTCTTTACCGATTTTTCATATCTTGCTTAGTTCTTGAAATATTTTCACTTGAAGTAATGAGATTTCCGCCATCTTGGATACATTTTTTATTTCATTGACGATAGTTTTGGTGACGTCACAACAGGGGTTAACCATGTAAAAGTATTCGTTGCAGATCCAAATATTGATTGGTAGATGTTTTAAAGGTTTTGAGTGATCTTGATATTTCGAAGGGCAGACAGAGTATAGTTTTGAGTGCAAAATGATTAGTGGTTGTCTAGATAAAAATATTGCGTGACCCCTGTTGTGACTTGACATGTACATCTACAAAAATTGAAGATGGCGGACATTTCATTCCTTTTGATCAAAATATTTGTAGAACTAAGTAAGCGCAAGATATTAAAAACCGGTAAAAGAGTATTATATGTATAGTCTTGAAAGTTCTTTCAAATGATAAAATAAAAAATATATTGCCATTTCTCTTTAACACGAGAGCGGGAGAGATGCATACTAAGCCGGAGAGAGTGTCGTGGAAGTCAAATTTGAACCTCTGTAATGTTAGACGGAGCACACCCGGTATGGTATGTATTTTTATTCAGTTTTTATTTAGTCAGTTTTTATTTGCACAGATGTATACCTGGGCTCGTTGTGGCGTGAAACGAGGTTGGGAAGCTATCTTGGAAAAGGTCTATTCGGACTATTTTCTTCTGGATTATAGCTTGTGGACTGGCCTTTGCCTTTGGTCGACTTGTGAAAAGGAGTGCACATGCAGCCACAATACCAGAGACGTTCGTCATACCAATTATATAATTGCGTATGGCATGAAAATATTAACTGGTGCTATTGAAAATTTTGTGTGGGATACTATTCTGTATAAAGACGGTCCAATATTGTGGACCAACAATACTGGACCGTTTAGGGCCAACATACTGCACAATTTTGAATGAAAAGTTTGAATAAAGTCAAACCTGATCCAAGATCGTCTAATACTATAGCCAATAACCAAACATATTTTTAATGTGGCATTAATGTAAGGACCAACGGTGAACGCCATGTTGGATTGTTTTGAACGGCCTTAATTCGCTTAAACATGTCTATCGCACTCATCGTGTATCTTCAGTTTATGAAATGATACATGTTTTTCGCAATTGTTATTACAAGCAATCTCAAAGTTCTTTTCAAATTGATAATTTTTGGTATGTATGGCATGCATTTTAAAATCTGCATATAATGACCAGCTGCGGCGATTTTATTGCCTCTCCAAAGAAAAGAAACGATGCACACACCACTTTTTGATATGGAACGACTTGTTGTAACATCATCAGAAGATATTTCCGATTCACTAAAGCAATTCACTTTCAAGAAGACAAATATAGTAAACATAGCAACCATGCTTTGTGCTTCGCAATTGTCGCATCTCCTTGTTTAATGTTAAAGAACATAGCACACACTCCAGGGCAGCCCCCCTATTGTCACTTGAACTGTGCTTTATTTTAACTGCAGTGTCCTTCAGTAAAGAGGCCAGTTCCTCTTTCAAGTATCTGTGTTTCAGTATTCGTTCTTTGCTTGGCTCTTTGGTCTGATATCTTCCACTAAACTTTGCAATGGCATGAGTAAAAGAAGGTGCCGCAAGGATGCCGTTCGTGCAAGACAATAAAAAGTGAGTTTCTACTCGTTTTATCGTTTTTTATTGATATTAATTTAAGCTGTCTGCTAATCCTAACACCTGGGTTATTCTCGCCCGTTTCTGCATTATTTTTTCAGTGGGAAATTGTGTGATTGTCGTAAGTAGCAACCATTAAATGTCCTACGACTTGTAAATCGTTGCTTTTACACACAAACTCAAATATCGATCTGCTAACTAGTTCTCTAGTATATTTCCTTGCGGCGATATATAAGATTGTATATTTGCTGAAAAAGAGTCTTATTTTACTATAACCGTATACATCGATAAGCGCCGCGTAGGAATGCAAAATTATTAAAGAGCGCGGCGCTCGAATAAAGCGCCGCATTCACAACAATACGACGCTTATTCGAAGCACCGTACCTCTCCCGCACCTCAGTGGGCCCCTTATGTTATACTTTGCTGCTAATATTTCTTGATACCGCTTGCAAATAAAATATTTGGAAAAGAGTGCAGCCCTCGAACAAACGCCGCCCTTACTCCCTTAGCGCTCTTTCCAACTCAACGCAAAAACCAACTTGCAAGCTCCTTCCGAGTGCTTGTGCATCTAATTCAAATAAATTGTCGAGCATTGCGATTAGATGAAGTCACTCGCAGTCAGCTTGCGAGTTGACTCTTGCGATGAATGGAAAGCGGCCGAACAAACCAAACACTAAAAACTACGCGCGCCGCAGCGCTTAAACGAGTAAATACAGTAATCCGCAAGCCATCTATACATTTTTGGTTAACCTGATAGGAGCCAAAAAAGAGCGAACAAACTTTTGATCAATGCCATCATATCTGTCACATTGTATAATGAAGTGTATATAAATGTTAAATATAAAAACAATATTACCTCACAGTAACATAATTCTGACTGGATATTTTTTTTAAACTGCCAAATGTTGTTTAATCAGCCTTTCTCATGGAGGCAACATGGAGGCCAAATACGCCATTTTGGGGGATTTTGGTCTGCCCTCGTGACAACTTCAATTCAAACAACGTGAAAAGCGACTTTTAAAAACTGTAACTGAAAATTTACCATTAAGTCTATTATACAAACAACTTTACGGAAAATTTACCATTATACTTCGTGGTGCGGAGACTCTCAAATGTGGGAGAGGCAGTACCCCAAATGGCGGGAAATTCGGCCGTGCATGAGAAAGGCTAATTACGTTCCCCGATTCATTCAGTTCACCAAGGTTTTATCTTGTTTTTTTTTGTCGAATTATCATGAATTTTTTATTTTTAAATTTGTAGCATTTTAATATTCCTTTCCTTGCTAACATTTTGACCAAAGTTGTTCATTGAGCTAACTGCACCAGTAAAACTAAATGTCTTTAAATTTTATAACTGGAGTATAAATATTTATAATGGGAGACCAAAAATGTTAACTTAAAATTAATAACCGCTTTGTTTCGTGTCAGGCCCATTTCACACGATGTATACCTTTGACGTGCCGAACTCAAGCCGCTGTTTCACTATGCAACTTGTCTCGCAATTTTGTTGCAACAGAAGTTGCACGCGAAATTGCGAGGTGTACCATTCCTAACAATCATCAAGCCTCGCAACACTTGTTGCACCATGCGTCGCGCGAAGTAGAATCAGATTCTACTTTTCGCAACGATTGCGGCAACACACTGCAACACATTTTTCAAGCATTGCACAGTGTAACATCCCTCTTGCAACTTGTCTTGCAAAATGTTTACTCGCGGAATGGCTTCCTATATATTGGCTCTTGGTTGACAATTTGGCGCCAAACGTTTAACCAAGATCATTGCAGGTTGCATGATACAATGCTGAAATTGTTTTTCTTAACATTGCGAGACAAGTCGCGGAGACACTTAATTCATGAATTAGGTACAACAGAAGAGCGATCAATGACACACCAGAAGTTCGGCAGAACCTGTCGCATTATGCGACGGTTGAATCGAAATTTGTTGGTAGTAGCGGTAGATTAGCTATCTTGTAATTTAAAAGTTAACATAAATAATAGTTTTGAATGTTATTCAGGATTCTCGTGCAAATGCGCCCCAACCTTCTCAATAGAGACCTTACGATTTTAGGACGGCAACGGCTACCAATATAATAGATCATTGAAAAGAATTGTCCTCGCTCTGTTTACACAACGGCTGCATTCCAAGCCGCAAGAAGTGCAACTTCAAACTGGGTTTAGCAGAACTCTTCCCAACCATAAAACCCATGTCTTCAACTTCTAAAACTGTATTAAATTCATACGAACTATCTTTACTAGCATTTATTTGAAGGAGTTTGTTTTGGCCGTCGCGTTGCCGTCCTGAAATCGTAAGGTCTATATATAATAGCATAATGTACGGCGTTTGAATCAATGGCCAATGACGTTCTTGTCAGTGTATCGCTCCAGTGTCGCATCTCATACAATTAAGTTTAGCAGATGAAAAGTAGCCTGTGCACATCCTGTATTACCCTGTAATACAGGATGTGCACAGGCTAATGAAAAGCAGCACTCTTTAAAAAAATTCTCTTGACCTTCGAAGTCAAATAGCAAACTTAATTTAGAGTTTAGCATGATATTGAAAAGGATGGTTATTTTAGCAGTCACTACACAACAGGTTTACTTCTTAATTCTTAAATGTGTTTATTATCTAAAAATAGCATGTTATATATACAGGTTATGAAGATAAAAAATTAAAATAGTATTTAGTACAAAACAAGCCTGTCTTAAATACAATACATTATGATACAGAATAATAACCTCTTCTTATATTGTGTATTATTACTGGTTGTTGTCGCAATTGATTACTGCAGAATAGATATACGCCATAACATTGAAGTAAAGAACAGATTTTGAAGTTTCATTCAAAATGCTAAACGTCTTAGCCTAGACAAAAGCGGTCAATATCTCACATATTGTCTTTATGGAATAAATTGTTAATGTTTGCTTGGAATTTTCCAGATTAACAGCTGGACACAATGCTGTTCACCACATGCAGCACTATCAGGCGATGGAGTATGCGTGGTTTAACAAAGCTAATTCAGAGTTTCCACTGATAAATTGCAGTTGAATCTTAACATGTTATACTGAGACTGAGATGCATATCAAAGGATGGAGCTGTTCAGTCCTCATTTGAATATGCAAAAGTTGCTCAAAGAACAATTAATTACCCCACAGTTGATTCACTTTAAAGTTGAAAATATATTCCCTTAACTCCTTAAGAGTACTTTTTTGGCATATATTTCACAAAATATGCTAGTACAAGAATTATTTAATGATAGTTCTATTGTAGTATTGATTGAACAGATACGTTCAATACTTTGGCATGAACATTTTTATGATTCAGTCTCAGCTCCATTCATCACTCAGTCATTCGAAAGCTAAAAACTCTAATCTGTAATAATACGGGAAAATGTAACCTGTGCAACCTAATATTGAGGGCACAAGAGTACACCAAATTTGGATTCCCTTTTTTTATACTATCCTACATACTTTTATACTATTGTTGTACTATCCTACATTTTAGTGTGGCGGCTGCTCCCCTTGGCAGCATCAAGGACAGAATAAAAAGTTTTGAGTTTATGAAGGACAGTGGTACGACGAGCCCGCGAGCACGTTCACCAATATCGCCTAAGAATGAAAGCTCGAAGGCACCGAGAAGACCTGGCACTAGTTGGGAGAAAGATGGGAGTGAGCGAAGACAGATGAGACGGTCAGAAAGACGAGAAGCAGAACTGAGGAGAGAAAATGAGATTTTGGCTTTAAAGGCGAAAGAAAAATCCATTATTCAACGCGATCAAAATAGTCCAAGCACAGAAAAGACTCCACCCCAGGCTCCTGAACGGCAGGTCCCACGCGCGGCTCCACGCGTGACGCCGCGTGTAATCCCACGCGAGAAAGACAAACCACCTGAAGCTGCGTTGAGGAGAAGGCGAAATGAAAATAAAGGTAAGAATTCTTTTCATAAATACAGAGCAGCCATGCATAAAACTGGGAGGTGTGACCGTCATTATGGAGGAGTATTGTGCGTCAAAGGCTCCCATGATTGAACGAAGCTCGCCCGGGAAATTTTGGAATTTCGTGCCCCATTATTGCACTCGGAGAAGAGTTTACACAACTATTTTGATAAAAACCAACAAAAATTTCTACACTTCCTATAGATTACATTCACCTTTGATGAAGACCAAATAATATTTTTACATATATATATATAATTTTATCATATCATTGGAAATACAATTTTGCAAAAAAGTTCAGAAATTGTTTTCAGGCTGCAAGACGAGGAGGAAGCAATTGATCTATTGAGACCTCTTCTTTTTCTAAATGTTTTGAGCCGTTCTGTGATGAAAAATTCACCCAAGAATTTTTCGATATGTCTCCGTGCTTTTAAAGTTTTCATCGTTTACACGTGCAATTAAAAAGTAGTAAGTCGTTTTCTTCTCTTTCGTAGAAACTTGGAACAGTACTGAGAAAAACACACATGGATCTTCTCGCGTCCAAAATTCCGTGTCTCCTGAAAAACCACCTTCCGCGCAGACCACTGAGAGCTCTTCGAACGAAACAATTGATATAAACTCCTCGGAAGAACCTGGTGATATTTCGAGTGAAGAGATTGAGGGGAGCAAAGAGAAAGAAAATGAAGAGGAAGGACATCAAGTAGAGGAAGACGGAAATGAAGAAGAAGCCGATGGGGAAGATGTGGATGAAGAATATGAAGATGAAGAACAAGAAAGTGAAGCAGATGAACAAGAAAGTGAAGCAGAAGAACAAGAAAGTGAAGCAGAAGAGGTAATGTTGAACAATAAAGTTCATAGTGTCAACTGCGCATCCAAATGACGCGTTCTGCGTTGGATTTGATTTCCACTACCGCTTCCTTTAAGGGATTGTTAACCAATCAAATGTTTAATCTTCCTGATCAACCAGCCGGATGCGCACTAAGTTAGTGAAAGGTAGGGCTAGTGGTAGTGACAATCTAATCTAAACTTTGATAACACTATTAGCTGAGACTGGAAGATTTAAAATATCCATATCAATATATCCAACTGATCAATCATCATTGGTGTTTTATATATAGTCACAAAGAACTGCAATTTACTAGTTGCTTACCAAATTGAACTCCTATTGTGTCTATTAAGAACTCTACTAAAACACGAATGGATCATTGAGCGGTTGGATACTTAATATGCATATTTTAAATCTCCAGCCAATTTTATCCCGACTTTGCAGGGAGCGTTGTTTGGATTCGCAGTCGAGGAACTAACTTACAATACAGAAAATAATTTGCAATTTGATAGTTAGCCACTATTTGTTTAGCTTGTACAAGCTGTTTGCCACTATTTGGTTTAGCTTGTGCCAAGTCACTCGCGACAAAGATTTTTGTTGTGAAGGTTTGCTATGTTCTTTAGTTTGTATATCTAACTCACTTTGGTTCAATATTCTTCTTTATGTATTAAATATTAGTGGGGCGGATTAGCGCACAATTTTGCAAAAATTGTGCAGTTAGTGAAGAAAGCACTGTAAACTTTGACACAAGTATAAATATCAGATATGGAGGCATCTCTGAAATTAACGCTTGAATATAAATTTCTATTACTGATAGAAATTTTAAAATTTCATGGTAGCTCACAGAAGAAATAAGTTGTATGGTTGAAAAGTATACAAAAAACTGTCTATAGAACATTAAAGCAGTTTTTTGATTTGCCAAGTCGTTTTTAAGTTAATCAGTTTCGAAATCGCACAAAATAGATAACAAATTTGTGCGAAGACTGGTACTAGCTTCAGATTGCAGCTCAGGAAATATTTGGAAAATCAAAATCTGTTTTAATGTTCTAGTATAGACAGTTTTTTATGTACATTTCAACCATACAACTTATTTCTTCTATGAGCCACCTTGGAAATTTTAAATTTCTATCAGTAATAGAAATTTATAATAAAATATCAGAAATTCCAGATTTTTGGCTCTTAGCGTTAATTTTCACAGATGCCTCCATATGTGATATTCATATTTGTGTCAAAGTCTACACATCCTGTTAATATGGTGCTATAAGCTTCACAAAATGCACAATACTATACAATTATTGGACGAGGTTGAGCAAAATATCGTGATTTATCAGTGGCGAGCATGCAGATCAATTATTTGCCGATGCCGAAGGCAGAGGCAAATAATTGATCCGCGAGACACTGATAAATCACGATATTTTGCGATAGCCGAGTTCAATAATTGTTTTATCATTTACCGATTACTATTTGTAAATTATTATGGGCACAAGTTTAATAACAAATACAAGAACAGCCAACGGAAAAAGTATAATTTAGTCTGACATACACAACGTAAAAATACTGTATTGCACAAAAATTGTGATTTTTATAAAATCAAGCATGTAAACAATTTAACTTTTGTTGCCTTTTTTGTGTTTTCGGCGTCCTTTTTCTCCAATAAAGATGACAAATCGCTTTCCGATAGCTCAGCAAAACGAGCTATCGAATCATTTTCAAAGTGCGCATGCTCAATGAAGTATTTGCACCAGTTATTTGCACCTGATCGATATTTGCACACAGTTATTTGCAGGTAAATTAACCAATCAAAGTTGAGAATACTATAAAGTGAATGATAATTAACAGTTATACTACGAACTCGAGTCGAATATGAGCTGATAGCCAATGGGGCGCGTAGCGCCGAATCGGCTATCGCTCATATTCGACGAGAGTGAGTGGAATAACTGCTTTATTATATACACAAGGTCTGAATTCACAGACTTTGCTTTTCGAATATTTTCAATATTTTTCTATTTTGTTTATGTTTTTATCTTCGCTCTTTCGGCCGATTATTTTTTCAAAAATATATATTTTTAACCATTTTAAATATTAAAAATGTATTTGCTAACCTGAAAACAATTTGTGGGAGTTTTTTCATTGTGTTTTTAATCCTGTGAAGGCTATAAAAAACGACAACTTGCCAAATTCAGTTTGGCCGCCATTTTGTTTTTCTCTACTAGCAGGATATGAGCTAATATCCTGCTAGTAGAGAACCAATCAGATTGCAGAATACCTCATATCCAGACCTTGTGTATATAATAATTTCACTTATCCGCCCCACTATAGGGTTTAAACTGTCTTGTTTGAATTATCTGCGGATTGAGAGGAATTCGACTACCTAAACAATACAAGCAAAACTTCGACGTTTCGAACGAAGGCCCTTCGTCTGGCCGCAAGTTGGTAGCGTGGATCGGGAAAATACATGTGCTTTTGTACTATCGAATATAAAAGCGATCACGTGGCAAAAAAATAAACCAATCAGATGGATTTGCTCAAAACAAAGTGTAAACAAAAAATGTAAATCACAATACAAAGTATATTACTAAGGAAGCAAGATCAGCTTCTGTAATGTGACCAAATCCATTTGACTGGTTTATTTTTTGTCACGTGATCGCTTCTATATTCACTAATATAAAAGCACATGTATTTTCCCGATCCACGCTACTAATGTCCAGACGGGGGGATTTTGGAACACCCACGTAGATAAAGTAAAGTACTGTGTTCTTTCGCTAGAAAAACAGTGAGACCGAAGAAGATGAGGAACATCAAGATGATGATGAAGAAAAGCTGGATACAGAGGAAGAAGGAACTGAAGAAGAAGTAACAGAAGAAGAACAGGAAAATGAAGAGGACGAAAACGAGCAAGACGAAATTGAAGAACATGAAAATGAAGAAGACGAGAATGAAGAAGACGAGAAAGAAGAAGACGAAAATGACGAAGACGAGATGACATTTAAACCACCCAAGAAAGAACACCCATCTTCGGTCACTGAGCAACCCAAACCGCGACGAGATAAAATTGCAGACTACACGAGCGCTCGTAAAACATCAAGGCAACATTGTCGAGACGACAGTTCCGAAATCGTTAACGGGATTAACCAACAGGATAGTCGGCATCATAAAGACAAGGGAAATAAAGACACCGAGATATTACCTGAACGACGTGGTTCTTCCCATGAAAAGAGAACAAAACTACATCAGCGACAAAGTAGTGTAAGTGGCAACGAAAGCGGAGACGTAAAATCGTTACGGCATCGTAAGGATAAAGGATCAGAAAACACGTCAGAAGCTCCCAAGGAAATGAAAACGAAACAACATCGAAGGCATAGCAGTGGTACTGGAAGCGATCTGGCAAAAGTTCGACAAGAACAATCCCATAAAACGTCTGACGTTTCAGCCGAAAAGTCGGACTCTATTTCAGAAAAGACAAAGAAAGACGAGCAACATCATCGTAGCTTAGTAAGAACAAAGTCTATTCCAAAAGGTGCAAGAAGATCTGGCAGCAAAAACTCCTTAAAGTCTATTCCGGCGGAAGATTTGGAAGAAATTGGTTTGACAGAAAAACAAACAGGGAGTAAATCAAAACAAGTAACGAGGAAAGAAGAAGGAGAAAGCAACATTCCATCTGGTCGCAACAGTCGTAAGGCAAGTTGTGCTGATGACGAAACATCTGAACAGCCTGGGAACGAGAATGAGGTAAGATAATTACTTGAACAAAGGCGAAGTAATATGAGAAATATAATTGCTGCATTTTGCAACTATAGCTGATTGAAACGTATGTTAATTAAACAAGTTTATGTATAAGCTACACAATCGGAGACAATCGCAAACAATCGCAGAGTAAAATGCACGGTTTACCCTGGTAAAGTCATGTATATAGTCCAGCTAATGCGTAATGTTAGCCTTCGTTATATTTTGAGAACTCGCCCTTCTCATGAATTCCTGAACTGACTTTATTCATTTGTTTGTATTGTTCTTCTACATTATTTATATACAAATTATTTATATATTTTGTTTCGGTTTCCTCTGCTCAGAAACTAAAGTGTATTTCCTTCTTCCTCTGGGAACGAGCTACCTGCTTGGAATTTACATCAAATTTCGACCAGAGAATGTTTTCAGTTTGCGTTATGCCATGCGCGTACTTTAGTTTAATTGGAAACAGGGCGCTTATATATTGCATAAGCGCCCTGATTGGCAATGAATGAGCGCGGGCAAAATATCAAATCACGCGAAAACAACCGTGCAATCATGCAGCTGACGCAAGGTGAACATTTATAATCAACTGTCAAGTCTTTGACAATGGTTTCCGTAGAGGAAACCGAAACGTAGACAAAATAAACATTTTATATATAAATAATGGAGAAGAACAATACAAACAAGTCAATGGATTTATCAACCAGAGTAGTGAAAACATGTCTGACATTATGCGTGTATGCAAAAATTTCGGACTATAGAAATCTTCTTTGTACGTTTGCATGGCGATAAAACATATGATAATTTTGTTTGTGGAAACACCACGTAAATGTATTACTGCAAAGCCCCGGATCTTCATCAGTGCTAATAATATGATTAGCACTATTATTAGCACTGATGAAGATCCGGGCTTACGGGTTGAAAGCTTTGCAGTAATAAATTTACGTGGTGTTCCACAAACAAAACTACTATATAGAAATCTTGTTGGTGAGACCATTATTTCTTTGTCAAATATAGACAAATTAATTCTTCGAACCACAATCTTTGAGCCTGACGGTAGCTTAGTGGTTAGAGCCCAAAATCTTGGAATTTGAATGTGTTGTTATTGTTATTTGTGTTATTTTTGCCATCTTTTTTCTGTTTGATTATAGGTCATCTCACCATCTAGTCAACTAAATCTTTATTCCAATAACGTACTTGGTCTTGTCCCTGCTGGTATCCAGACATCTGTAGACGTGGAGAGCGAGGGCACATCATCCCCTGACCTTAAACAAGATGAACCGCTTTCAAAGAAAGTATTTGTCTGCGCTATTCACGAGGAACCATGCAAGTACTACTGCCAGGATTGTGAAAGACTCATTTGCAGCGAATGTGCCATGCGTTGGGGTGACTGCCACGAACACTACTACCTCCGAGTGAAAGACGCTTGGAAGAAATACCGCGAAGAAATGATGAAGATATTACAGGAAGCCAGATCAGGTGTTTCACACATACAACAAGATATCTTGGAAAACTCGAAAGAACGGGACAGCTTCAAGTTAAAAGTTGAATCTACGATCAAGAAAATCAACAGCTTCTTTGACGAGCATGTGCAAGCTTTGGAAAAACGGCGTACAAACTTTTTAGAAACAGTGGAAGAGATTATGAAATTCCGAGAGATTGGAATAAACCAAGAAATTGATAGCCTACAGAATAACTTAGTTGAAACAAACAGTACTATCAACATCGCAGGCCGTGTGTATGGAACTAGCACTATGATGGAATTCCTACAGGTTTGCAAGCAACTTACAAACCGCCTTCTCGAACTGGGACATAAAAAGATCAAGTTGAATATTACAGAAAGTATTGACATTGATTTTATCTCAGAGCCTCACTTGTTTGAAGAAATTGAGAAAGTTGGTCAACTAAAGAAACACAAAGATTCTTCCGCCACAAAATTGTTTCCACGTGGAACTGGTGTGAATGGAACGGGAGGAGAAATGCCTAAAAGTGATGAAGGGATGAGATCGAACGCTGACGATCCGAGGAAAGTTGAGGAAAATGAACAGGACTCGATGGATTCTGTAGTCGGAACATCAACAGAAAATTTATCCGAAAGCACGTCAGCCAAAGATACCAATGACGCTCCAAGAAAACACTTGTTGAAAAACGCAGAACATTCTGTTCCACCAGGCGGTTTTATTAAATCATCCACCAAGATTAACGATCAGACAATTATGAATCAGGGAAGACATGGTGTGAAGAATGAGACTGAAGAATCGGTAAAAATGAAACCGAATGAGGAACTTAAAACAGAAATGAATTTCGGGCAACAAGCACATCCTGGAGTAGCGTCTGAAGAGCCAATTATTAAACAAGAGACAACCGCCGAGCAGCACTCGAGATCTACAGCGAGTGGCCAGAAGGAAATAACTGATTGTGAAATCACGGACTGTTCTTGTGGCCTTGCTGATAAAGTGGACCACCGAAATGGTTTACCTAGTGAAGGGGAAAGAGTAGCGGCAGCTGAAATTCCGCTGAAACAAAAACCTGCGGCAGAGCAACAGCATGCTCGACGACATAGCATGGACGATGTATTCGGTATTCGCAGCAAAAAAGAAGAAATACAGCGTCGACTCGGAAACATTGCCAGATACCGTCCACCCAAATCAGTCGCGCAGTTCCTGGACGAAGGTGAGCGCTATTTTTCCAGTGGAGAAGCCGAACAACGACGTCGAAAACAAGAGTACTACAAGGTTCGTTTTAACGACCGTGCGTACTACAGCAACCCGAGTGATAGCTCCGAGCTAGAGGAAATGCGAGGTTATGATCTCGTAGAACGACCAGTGAAACACAATTGGTACGACGTCATCGTACGATGCCTCTGATCAGACCCATCTCCGAACGACGGGAACTAAAAAGTCCTTGGACTTTGGACGTATTCCGCTACCATGGCAAAATCCATTTCTCACGCAACAGTCTTAAAGCAACCGGGAAAGCGTTCGGTTGGAACGCGGTCGTAGGTTGCCAGGGATTTTCCCAAGGCAAACACAGTTGGAAAGTCCGCGTTACGAAGTGGACAGCGGTCGGCGTATGTTATAAAGATGATCACGTGGATAACCCAAGCTGGGGAGCCGGGGACAAGTGGACGTGGGATTCAGCCGACATGTGCTACTCCCCCCGTCTCGGCGTGTGTGAATCTCCGGTGGGAGAGTGGATCGATGGTGACGTGATAGCATTGGAACTGGACTGTGACAATAGCGTTCTTATTGTGCACAATCTGCGTACTTCAGAAACGGACAAGTTGTATGGTTTCAAGGAGCCTGTATACCCTTACTTTTATCTTTCTGTATTTCGCAGTATTAGTCTCGTTGAGATTGATGGCATTCAAGTTGGATCATAGCTTATGATGATCAGACATTACTAACTCCATAACAAGCTTGCAACTCTGACACAAGCGGCTTAACATTTGAATATACTCTGTGTGAATCACAGCTTAGACATAATGATCAAACTTTACTAACTTCGTAAGTAAATTGAATTTACGTGATAGCTTGTAAGTAACGACACGATGCCGACCGGAATTGACAAGGTCTCTCTGACATGTCCCTTGCCCAAAGTTAACAGGGTTCTTCATTTTGCTGCCGAAAATGTAACCAACACGGCAACAGCATTCAAAAATTTAATGGGATCTTGCCATTTGCTTGGTTGACAACTTGAGGATTGATAAGTCAATCTCAAATTTGAAATACATTTCAGATAGACCACTTGCCATTTCGGTATACTTGCAGGTAACCTGAAATTCAGGCCCTAATTTTAACTTGCAGTATGTGGCATCACACTAGATGTAGCACGTTTGTATATTAATATTATGTTTCATCTTTGGAAGAACGTCGGATTTAGTATTTTGGAAGGTTTTCATATTATATACTCTTATATAGTTATAGGAACACTTGTGGTAGTTTGGGAGAACTCGAAATAGCGTAGAAAATCTTGCCTTTGGGCTCGTTTTCCCACTGATTATTTCTCCTTCTCCCACACTCGGATGTTCGCGAAAAGTCGAAAAATCCCGAATATAATATACTACAAAAAAACTACAATCAATGAATTTTCTTCGGAATTTTCCGACGTTTCGGGAGCCAATAGAAATGTTGCCGATTTTACAATAGTCGGAGAACTCATAAACATATCAGATGCGTTGACAGCCATTTTGTTTCTTTGTTGTTTTAAGGCTGCTTTACAATCAAAGTTTCTGTGATCACAGTAGTAATTTTGCATAGGTAAATTTGAAGGAACTTTTCTTACAAATCCTTCAAAACTCAGTGTTAAACACAGTGCAATGGTTTACCCACCCCAATAGTGTCAAATTATGCTAAAATGTCACGCGATTGATACCCAAGAATTGAAGAAATTTAAGTACTTCTAAACCAGAGCAACTCTTTTAAAGTTCTTTTATATCTAGATTTGTGACAGAAATTGGCAGAATTTTTGTTTTTCGAGCAAATGTATACGTGTTAATGTGCGTAAATATAGAATGGCAAAAAGGACATAATTGCATATACACAAAACATCGCTCGAGCATAGTCTGTCAAGATTTGATGGTCTGTAAGCCCGGCAAACTTCAAAGCTACAAAATACAGTAGAGGGCCTTTGCATGTTTGATGTTGAACTGAACCTCACGGTGCACAAATCCTTCGTCTCAACCTCATTAAATATTTTTCATCGTGGCTGCAAGTTGCATTTCAGCTATCCTTATTAGATGATTACTTCATTAGGGACCGGTCATTATTTATGGCGGGAGGTGGCACCGAAGAGAAAAGGGTTGGGTAAACAAAATTTTGAGTGAGTAAAAGGTTGGGTAAATGAAAAACAAAACAACTCAAAGGTTGGGTAATAAAAATTTATTGTCAATTCCAAAGCACGACTCACTCAAATATTGAAGACTGAAAACTTCAAAGTCAACAGTCATATGTCAATACAATATGTGAATCAATCTATATCTTCATCATTTTCCGATTTGTTGGGAGACAAATGGTGTCTCCAAAGAAAGTAAATGTGCAGACAACATGAAACTTTAGACTGCAGAAAAGTCAGTAAATTTCACAAGCCGAACGTTATCAAACTATCAAACATTCGCAAGCCGAACGTTATCAAACGTATCACAGAAGTGGTAAAGGACTAGTAAGAACGTCTGCGAGGGAGACTGTCATGTGTGACAACTGAATGACATCCTTTTGTAACGTTTTTGGCCAGGGGTGGGTATTTATCTTTTAAATGATACTTGAGGTTGGGTAATCAAATTTTTGATTTTTTAATGGTTGTGTAAGCAAAATTTTTGCCACGAAAAACATTTCTCTTCGGTGCCACCCCCCCCCCTCCCCACCCCACCACCACCATAAATAATGACCGTTCCCTTATACGAAAATACAATGAGCTTAATAACGGTGACCGCGCACAAATTAACATAAAACTCCGAAAAATTCATAAAGACCATCAAGGCATCATATTTTGATAGACCATGAGCAATGTCAGAAGAACTTTAAAGGTGATCTACAGTCCGATCTGCGCATGTGCACAAATGAGCCCACTTTTTATGATACAAACAGTTTAAATATGTTTCGAGTTCTTGAAAAGCCTAATTTTTGTTTCTTGATCATTTATTATACTCTAGAAGCTTGAAAATATAAATAGTTGTCGAATGAAGCTCAATATTTTGGACACAAAAATGTAAACAAAGGCTTTGTTTGCATACAGACTGTAGATCACCTTTAAATATATTTTATATTTCACAACTGTTTATTTTGAGGATAACAGTATATTATCTGGGCTGCCTATGGTGAGAGCGATTTGCACGCTTTGTCGTGTACACTTATTCGCGTTACAGGCGATGTTTAGTGTAATCTGTACACAATTTTCTCTCCAAAGTACGTCGCCTTGTTTTGAAGACGGCAACAACAGGTTTGTGTAACTTTTGTAAAAACCTAGTATTTGCGAAAAATACGCTTTGATAAATTTCAGTAGATTGCATGTTAAACAAGCGCAGAAGGCCTGGGTACGAGGTTGATTTGTGGCGGAAAAAAAACAAAGTGCACATTTAGTCCGAGGGTGCCAGATCGACTATCAATTTTAATATAGACTTATTGCGAAATACGTATAAAAACTATCGTCTTATATCTTAGGGCACTTTCCATTAACACGGCCAAACCGGTCAAATTGTTGAATGGAACACAAAACGTTTTGGCTTCTGACCTATCGGACCAGAAAATTTAGGTAGAATTAGAATGAGGTCCAAATTCGCTAGATATTTGAGAAACAGACCAAATCGTTCCATTGATACAGAGAAAAGAATTCGGGTCTGACCGGTGAGGCCATTAAATGGAAAGCGCGCTTACTTTCTGTCGAAATTTCCGTGTTTGAATTCATTTTTTTGACCTTGCCCCTTTGGTTTATCTCCAATGTCGGACTTTTTTAGCCACAAATCAACCTCATACGAAGGCCTTCTGCGCTTCATTATAACATGCAAGGTCTTACTTCAGTCAATTTCAGCTCAAATTATATGCATTACTATTTTTTTTAATAAAGAAATTAAGAATGAGAAAAAAAAGTATATTAAATAATTTTTAATTTGAATAATACATGTTATTTCCTTCGTTGTGGTTATTTTGTAATGAGCCTAATGGGCCACCATACACCACTATAGCTATCAACCAATCATATTAGAGCAATCATATTAAAATCATTTAAAATCATAGGATTCAAACAGCCAATCAATTTAAGAAAAATGTGATAATTTTATGGCAAATGAGCAAAACAAAAATTTTACATATATATGTCATGATTACTCTCAAGAGTAATCTCAAGAGTAATCCAACCTCGTACCCAGGTTCTCAATCTTTGCTCCTATCTCGCTTGAATCGAGACCACAGAATAAAGATCAGTAACAGAAGGTTCACTCAGCGGTGCAACGTGTCCTCGTCTTTTTATGCAAAAATATGCAGTTTACTGGCCAGAAGGCGGAGCAGCCAGCCAGTAAGCGTGTTTATTGGCCAGAAAATGTCATTGACTGGCTAGGAAAATGGCGGCCAACATGCGTAATGCGACATGCGCGAGGACAGAAACTTCAAAGCTTCCGACGTAAGAGGCCCTTCTAAATGGATCTTTATTCTATGTCGAGACCCTGGTATCGGCTGGTCACGTGACCCGTCATATTTTGGCGGATTTGCTCAATTGTTTTAGCGAAAGTATAGTAAGTAGATATTGTAGTAAACATTAATATTGTTAAAATAACATTACAAAACAAAACATCTCAGTTACTATCCTTTCCCTAAAAAAAATTTAGCAAATCCACCAAAATATGACGGGTCACGTGACGAGCCGATACCAGGGCCTCAATTCAAGCGAGGTAGGAGCGAATATTGAGAAACTGGGTACGAGGTTGTTGATGCCTAAGCAATTTTTTGCAAATAAAAACAATTATTTATTTTGCAAATAAAAAACAATTATTACGATTACTATACTACAACCAAAATAAACATATGCCAATTGTTTGAAGCTCAGACATATTTATGTGGTTGGTTTTTAATAAGTGATTATTACTATAAAAAAACCCAGCCAAAACTACAGGGTGTCCCCCAAAAAAGTGACACTATAGAAATTATCTCATTGTTCTTAAGCCGCTCTTAAACGCGCGTGATTACACGCCTGGGAATTTAATGAACTTGTATTTACATTTAAGCATTTTAAAACGTTTTCGCTTTGTCCAAAAACTTTAACGCCCGATCAAGCAAAACGATTACACTATTAAACGGTTTGCTTTTTTATTTTAAATTCCAGAAGCAGAAGTTTATGCACCTGTGGAATCAACTTAATGCTAGGGCATTCAAATTATAACAATAGGATAATTTCTATAGTGTCACTTTTTTTGGGACACCCTGTACATTATATGCATTTGATGTATTGTTAATCTACTTTGACTACTACACAGTTTAGAACCACTGGGAGAGCCCTCAGCCCCTCAGGGCCTATAATATAAAGGAAATACGGTATTAGAATTTTAATACAATGCTATATGCATTATGCACTCGATTACTTTCCCTCATTATGTTTGTTTTTCATTTGTTCCAACATTTCCGGGTTACAGAGGATATCGACAGCTGTCATTGCCATAGATTTGGCTGCAATAAGAGTGGGGGATTGTGCTATTTCATCACCTGTTGCCTTGGTAAACTCATGCGTGTGATTTCCTGCTTTAGTTGTGATACTGTAGAGTGGATGTATGGATGGTACAACATGGGAAACATTGCCCATGTCTGTTGATGCAGTTGGTAGGCTTGCCTCAATAACTCGTGGTAGAAATTGAATTCCAAGAGACTCTGCATGCTTCCGATAGAGATCGCCCAGCACTGGGTTGTTTAATACATCAATATAAGGTTGATGATCTTTTCCATGACCACACCATTTTATGTCAACAGAACAACCTAGTACATAGAATTAAGTCAACAACGATCTGTGACGTGTCAAGTGTTTTTAGGACCACGTCCATATTCAAGCTGCCATGCAAAACGTCAAATTGAGGTTTCTTCTAACCCATCCATCCAGCATTGAAAATGTCGATTGTGCCATGCCTTATGATCATGCCATGCCTTTAGTTTAAAAATATTAATTTTTCCAACTGCTGTATAATTCGTGAAAACTTCGCAGAATAATAGTTACTTTTGACCTAACCACATTTTATGTGGCAACTTGAAGATGGACGTGGCCCCTGTTATTTAAGTCCATAATGTGTACGGTATGCTTTCAAGTGCAATTTCAGGGTCCCCACCTTTTAGTGAAGATGAAATTCAAGGACTTTTCCAGGACATTCAAGGACCTTTTTCAGTATATTCAAGGACCATGTAACCACCTTTTTAGTTTACACATAATCATAATGTGAACAAATATCAAATTACGTGACCGATTGATCGTCGAATACCCGCTTCGCAACACACCTTTTGGACAATTGTTATACATAATTTTAATTGAAATTGGAGAAAATAAACATTTGGGCAATAATCCTTGGGTTGGTAATAATTCTTCAATTATTTCCAGCCTACTGAAAAAAAATTCCAGGACTTTCAAGGACCTTATCAGTTTCCAAGGACTTTCCAGGCCTGGATTTTTTTTACCAAATTCAAGGACTTTCCAGGATTTTCAAGGACCGTTTGGGACCCTGTTTGGAAAAAATCATTCAAGAGTGAGTTTTTCAAAGACGATCCAAACTGCAAGAGTCCAAAGGACGAAAATATGCAAGTCCAAACAAACGAAATTTGCATTATTGCATGTCTGTATAAGACATGACATCAATTCTTGGCGTGGACCAATGACAATCAAATTGTATATTCAAAATATTAAACGTTTAGTCACTTTAGCATGGTTTGATTTCAAGTCCTCTTTCCTGTTCCTGTTGAGGTTGGCTAATATGCAGCCAGTCCATGTCTGCAGATTGTACTATATAAACGAGTATGTTTATGATATTCAGTAATATAGTTCATAATTGCCAGTCTTCAATCCGTCCTGACCGTGTAGCTTAGTTGGTGGAGCATCAATCTAGTAATTCGAAGGTCACAGGTTTGAAACCCAGCCGCAGCGGGCAGAGTTCTCTGCTTGCTCGCTGTCTGGAAATTATGAAATATCTCACTCAAGAACATTTTCTATATATTATACATATACCCTCACCTGTGGCTTCTGCAGCAGCTCTAAAGCAGTTTTCTGCTTTCGTCTTAAATTCCTCCAACTCTTTTAATGAAGGAGCACGGAAGAGATAATGCAGCTGAGTCTTCTCTGGAATGATTGATGGCTCAATACCTCCTTCAGTAAAAACACCATGAGCTCTCCATGTTGGTTTTATCTGCTGTCGTAACATGCTGATTGCATTGTAACTCAGAACTGCTGCATCTAAGGCATTCACTCCTTCCCATGGAAATGCTGCAGCATGTGCAGCCCTGCCTTTAAAAGTCACATACACATTATGAACAGCCAAGTATTGGCTGTAAATAGCATCATATGGTGTTGGGTGTACCATCATACTGAAATCAACTTTGTCAAAGCAGCCCTTCTCAAGCATAAGTATTTTCCCACCGCCGCCTTCTTCTGCAGGTGTTCCCATGACAACAAGATGACCTAAATCATCAGGTGCATGAGCAAGTGCAGATTTTATACCTAAGGGGAAAAGAAAAAAAGTTAGTTCAATTGTTTAGTCTTGTGAAAAACACCAAGTTTTAGGAAGCAATTCGCAATTGCAGAATATGAATGCTGTAGAATCTCAAAGTTAGCAAATGATTGGAAACATTGATGTGAAAATAATGCACAATACACCCATAGAACCATACACTTTGGCCATAGAACCAGCCTGGTTTTTCATGTATGCAACATAAGTTAAAGCGAAACATGTCAATCATGAAAATGAGGGGCTATAGCCAAAGTGACATACTTTTCAGACTTAGGGTCAGTGTATTTACATCAATGTTTTTTTCTTGTACAAACTGTTGGACACTAGGGGTGCACTGGAACCAATTTTTTAAGTTTCAGCCGGAACCGGATCTGGCCGGAACTGGAAAAGAGTTCCAGCCGGAACCAGAACGGATTTATTTTGCCATATATAGGCAGACACTTCAAAGTCATCAAGGAGAGAGCTTGCAAATGTTAGAATAAAAAGACAAACGTTAAACGTCATAATGAAGTCTTTTTTCTGTGTTGGTTTTATGTACTCAGGTGAATATGTTTGTGATATTACACTGAGTGTATATCCACACCGGGCAAGCTTGAAAACTATGCCTGGCCACGGTGGGAATCGAACCTACAACCTTTGGAATACTAGCCCAATGCTCTGCCAACTGAGCTACGCGGTCAGGTCGGTAAATTCAAGTATGTGATATTTCGGAACTGAGTCTAGTTCCTTCAATATCAATGAAATCTAGTAATCATGATTTTTTCTGTGTTGGTGTTATGTACTCAGGTGAATATGATGTTTGTGATGTTACTCTGAGTGCAAGGCCGATATCAATCACATGACTATCAATTGACATGACTTTTTCAATTTGCTTTTGAGCGTGAAATTTCACAATTTTTTGCTTGGGACTATATAATAAACAGAACATTACACGGTGGGCTTGAAGATATGACTTTTATCTTCTCGTGTTAAAAACAATATTTTACTCACTCGCTGCACTCATTCGTAAAATATTGTATTCACCACTCGAAGATAAAAGTCATATCTTCACGCCGCCGTGTAATATCCTCAAAATATTTTCTTTGTGTAGTCCAAATTTCTTCCTACCTTGAACTTTTGTTAGACACAAAAACGTTTGATATTCTATCTCTCTGAAAATAACAGAGTTCCGGTTCCGGTCATGCTTTTTTTATCAGTTCCAGCCGGAACCGGAACTCTGAAAAATCTGGGTTCCCGGCCGAACCGAGTTCCGGTGCACCCCTGTTGGACACCACCAAAAAACATTTTGTTGGCAATATTCACATCAATATTCACAGCAATTGACATTACATAATATATATAAATCCAGGGTGTTAGCCAGGCGGCCGTCCGACCGTCCTATGGACGGCCACTTCTGAATTTGGACGGCTAAATTTTAATGGACAGCCATGGACGGCCTAAGGGAATATTTTCTTTAAATAGCAACCTACAAGGTTTGTAATATTTCTTGAATACTTCGCGCCATATTTTGGTAAAACGCGCCATGTTTTTGTAACCATTTTGATGATTCTCGCATGAAGTATCAAGGAGAATAATGTGAAACCGCTGTTTTAAAAAACAGCAATCGCTTTATCGCTCAAGTGCCACGTTACAGTTACGGTAGTGATCATACCATACGTCAGTGCTTTTACTAATTTAATGATGGAAATGTGCATCTACTGTAAAACTAAAAGTAGAATGGTTCAACCTCTAGATCTATTAACTGTGGTTCAACGAATAAAACACCACAATTCCTCAACAACAGGAGATTGCGGCCACACCCAAAAACATGTGACCACGCCCACAAAAATATGTTGCCACACCCACAAAATTATTTTGGACGGCCACTTTTGAAATCCTGGCTAACACCCTGTATAAAACCCATTCTCATCATTCATGATAAAAACTATAATGCAGAACTATAATGCTAAACTATATATCAGTTGCCAAGGTTGGCACCTTGGCAGCTGATATATAGGAAGAATTCTCATTTAATTGTGTTACATCCAAGCGGATATCATAATTTCACCAACAGCTCTTAGCTAATCAAAACACTTGAATTATATTTTTCAATTAATAATAATGGTAAATATTCGCCTTATCAATTGATGGGTTTTTACAAATGGTAATAATATTATAGTACAAACAAGGCCGAAACTTCGATATTACGGCAGGGGGGTGTGAGCTTGTTTTGCCTGATCAATAGGCATAGACAGATTTTCATGTTTATTACTGGGGTGGTGCCAGACATTTTAGGGGGGTGAGCCATGAGCAGGTGACTGAAGCAACACAAAGTGTCACCAAACCCCAGTAAGGTCTATATTCTAGGGGTGGAGCACTAGAGCCGCAAGGGGGAGTCTAGTTCACTGAGCAGAAAACAAAGCATCCCAGGAAAAATTTGAAAAAAATCATGATTTCTAGTTTCAAAAAAAAGTTTTTTGAAGTTGTCAATTTGTAATATCAATGGATTTGGCATGTCTGTTAAGATTTGAGAGAACCTATAAAAGTGGAAACCCAATAGGCCAATACACAATATGCTTTTACTTTTATATAAAAGTCATTGACATTGTGTTGTTTGAATCCGAGTACAATTTATGATGCAACTCCGATGTAAATAATATTTGCGGCATAAAGATTAAATCTAGGCAAGTCTATTTCCTAAAAGAATTAAATGAAAAATAGTGTTCGTAAAAATTCCAAACGTTCCTTGCGTGCAAGCTATTCGCATGACAGCAAGGCACTGCAAACTCTATGCAGGGAAGATAATAGAGTTTCAAAACTTTACAATTGCTCCAATAAACCAGTGAATGCAAGCGAGGAGAATTAGTTTCAGAGTGTTGCACTGTCTTTTTCTGTTCGAGTGTACTCCTATGTTTATTTTGTATCATCAACACTCTGCACGTTGGAGTGGACTACTTAATTATTTCTTTATTATGCCGAATATTGGGGGGGAGTTGAAAATTTTTTTGGAGGGGTGGAGATTTTGTTTGGGGGGGCTATAGCTAATGTTGGGGGGTAGCACCCCCCAGAAAATCCGTCTATGCCAATAGGGAGTGCCCAATGGACATTTCAGTTGCTAAAAAAACTTTTTGGAAAAAATTTTCCAGACAACAACCTCCCCCCAACTTTTAATTGCTTTCTTTGCATTTTTCCCAAATTTCTCCATACAAAGTTTCGGTAATCAGACCTGCCAAGTTCGGAAGATAAGAATGCGTGACCAGGGCTGTTGCAAGGACTTTGGGGGGGGGGAGAGGTTAGATTTACCGCCTGAATTGTTTCAATTCACCTGATTTAGCAACATCCGCGAGGCGCTATCATGGTTGGTACCGAGCAAAAAATTTTGAAAATTTGAATTCTCTAGACCGTCGGAAATCTTTCCTATCCAAGATTTCAATGTCTTACTGCTGCCTAACAATGAAGATAAGTAAAATAACTACTGATCAATATGACAGTGTTACTTACAGTTTAATGTGATTAGGAAAATTGAGAAAATGTTGGAAATTTGTTGTCTCCAGATCGTCAGAAAGCGTATTTGGCCATGTACCCGCAGGCCACGATGCGTCTTTATTTGGTTGGTCGATTGTTAACTCTAATATTCTACGTTTACACACAGCATTGTCAATGAGTTATTGTACGAAAAGTATTTAGGAGGCTCCCTACAGTTCCGTGCGGGATGTTCGCGGGACAAGTACATGAACTATCTCACGCAACTGCATGATCAAAACAAAACAAAAATTGACCATGCTTTTTTTAAAAATAAAGCTATTTCTGAAAGGTTTCTAATGGAAAAAGAAATACTTCGTTTTGAGTGCCAAATCACTTGCGAGTCTATACAGCAATTCTACATATGATATGAATAATAACTAGACCAAAATATAGCTACGAAACAATATTTTTTAATTTTTTTATACACTGTCAACTGACTCAACTGTAAAACATTTGCAAAATTGCATACAAACGTTTAAAAAGTTGTTTACTTCTCAAGAAAACGTTCACGTTTTTAGTCGTGTTTCTACAAAATTAAAGTGATTATATGTAAACAGAAAAATATTTCAGTTTCATAGCCTAATTGTTCATTTTTAGCAAAAAGTACAAAACCAAACATGAAACAAAAAAAAACACGTCCACCTGTTAATAGGCTGTTACAGCTCATATAATGAGTAAACGGCGGGATTCAATTAGCTTCAACCTTGTTTTCATCGATTTAATCCTTCACAATAATCCTTGGCTGTCCATAGCACTCAAATAAATCGAAAAGTTGACAAAAACAAAACAGTAAAAACAACATTGCGGTTCGATTTTGCTGAATGAAAACTCGTTCTGCGCCCGCGTACAAACTTTTACTAGTCAGCGACGCTTTTCAATAGGGGAATTTCTCGAGTTACACGAGGCTATTTTCTAACTTTATTTGCATTTTACTCATTAGTTTCATCGGTGACCTATCTTCAAATTTTGACCACGAATTTATTTTGCGGTAAATTTTATAAATTTCAAATTTTAAAAAAATCTGTAGTGTGGAAATTTCGCAATAAATTTTTCGCTTATAAAAAAATCACACACTACAGAATTTTTTTAAACTTTCACCACAGTTGCAGAGCATCATTCCTTATTGATATATGAAATAAAAAAGATAGGTCACCGACATTGTTTTTGAGATAGCGGCACATTTATGGGTTAAATTGGAAGGCTTTATGCTGTCGTCATGTTGCCATGGGAACATTGACATCGTCGAAATCTAGTTCGAAATATTCCTTAGGTGACCAATATTGCCACCAAGTCAAAAAGAATTCGCGTTCTGCTCGAATAAGCCTGTTTTACGGACTTATTGCTTAAACAAGAATAACTGTAGGGAGCCACCTTAAGATGGATAGCGGTAAAAATGCGTAACTTTAAGATCATTTTAGTTATGCGTGCGGGACAGCGGGAACAAAAGCAGAATGCGTAACTTACACACGAAATGCGGGAACCTTGGCAGGTCTGGGACTGGTAAATACTTGCCCCAAAACATTAATTTTTCAGTAATATTTTCGTAAATTTTAATATCAAAATTTTCCCTACAACTATTACTTTGATAAATTTTGTAAAATTGCTTGCTCAGTTACATATTTTTTGCCAGACAAGCATGTTGTTGAAATTGTTAAACTTGCCTGACGAAACTGCAATATTCCAATATTGGGGTCCCCCCCCCCCCCAACTAGTTTCAGCTCTGAATACAAAACAAGTGAAACTCCAAAGATCGATTTTTTTTTCAAATATAAAAATGTTACTGATCTTTGGAGTTTCACTTGTTTTGTATTTTGTTAAAATACTCAGTGGTTGTAATAGTATTATTTCCCATCTTCAAAACCGTCAATGTTTTTGTGCTCATACCTATAGCAGCAGCTGCCCCTGCCTCAGCTATTAAATTATGACCACAAGCATGACCAATTTCAGGTAAAGCATCATATTCACATAATATTGCTACGCAAGGCACACTCTCTTTCTGCGTTGCTTTGTTCGACGCGACAAATGCCGTGTCCAGTGCGTATTTCTTTTGGACGTGAAATCCATGTTTTTCAAAGAACGATGTCAGAGTGTCATGGGCGAAATGCTCTTCGAAATTTAACTCCGGTTTTGCCCATAATAACTTGCTCAATTCATGAAGTTCACCAGCCAAATGGTCAATGGCTGAACATGCTTTTGCGTGAAGTATTTGTGCTTTTGCCATTCTTTATTAATCTTTTATATATGATTTATATATGATATAATTTTTTCCTATGATTTTCCAATGATTTTGGCGTAACCACTAACCAGTGCTTCCATTTTCAAAAAACATAATTTCCTTCCAACCGTTTCCAACCGTTCAAAATTTCCTTCTTTTTTTTTATTTTTGAAAAAATTTCCTTGCAATAAAAATTATTGAATTTTACCTAATTTAAAACTGATTTTATAGTAATTTATCTCGAATAACCAGGTATTTCTTGTTCTAGAAGGCACATAGACGTTGCACGAGCTGAATTATCAAAGGGGAGAGACAAACAGATAAAGATAGATAGATAGATAGATAGATAGATAGATAGATAGATAGATAGATAGATAGATAGATAGATAGATAGATAGATAGATAGATAGATAGATAGATAGATAGATAGATAGATAGATAGATAGATAGATAGATAGATAGATAGATAGATAGATAGATAGATACTTTATTGCGTGTTCCCCTCAGGGCTTTTCAACACTACATTACATCTTAAAATTACTATAAATTACTTCTAAAACTACCTATGTTACATATACTTATTTAAAATTAGTTAAAATATGTACAAAGAGTATGAAATATTAAATGTATTTAATAGGATTCTTTTAGTAAAATCTCCCTAAGTTTTTTCTTAAAAATTGTTATTGATGTAATATTTTTTAGTTTATCATCCAAGTCATTCCATATTTTAACACCCCGGTAATTAAATGTTCTTTGACCTGCAGCAGATTTATACAGAGGGATGTCCAAGAGGTCATGATTTCTTGTCGATCGATCATGTATGTCGGAACGCTTTATAAATTTATCTGCTAGGTAGTCAGGTGCAAGTCCATTAAAACACTTGTAAGCCATTACAGTATCCCTTTCCAATAATAACTTTTCCACTGGCAACCAATTTATAATTAGTTCGCGCAACGCCGGAGTTATGTGATCGAACTTTTCTACCCCTGATATAACTCTGCACGCGAAGTTCTGCACTGATTGAAGTTTATTGATATTGTTAGATGACGTGTTGGACCACACCGTAGAGCAGTACAGAAGCTTGTTAATTACAAGTGTCTCAATGACCAATTTTAATGTTTCATTATCGAAACTATCCTTCACGCGATTTATTTGACATAGTTTTCTCATACACGACGAAACGAGTTTAGATATGTGGTCGTCGTAGGATAGGTACGAATCCAAATTGATTCCCAAATCTTTACTTTTAGCTAATAAAACTGGTCTTATATAGTCTTTCCTAAAAATGTTAGCGATATTTCTGTAGGTACGTTCTGCAGCATGGGTCTTGAACCGACTACAAGGAATTTAGTTTTTTCTGGATTGATCAGTAATTGGTGCTCCAAACACCACTTGGCTGCTATTTGTAGATCTGCCTCTAAATTGATAGTTGTCTGTTCCAAGTCGTAGATGCAGAATGATTTGTAAAGCTTTGAGTCGTCTGCGTATGAATCAAGGTTACACGATTGTATGCTCCCTGGCAGATCATTAATATAGATGCAAAACAGAAGTGGTGATAGTATTGCACCTTGTGGAACGCCATGGGTTATCGGGCGAGCTGATGACTTGGTGGATCCAATGCGCACGTATTGGGATCTGCCTGTTAAATAGTATTGGGATCTGCCTGTTAAATAGTCTTGGAACCATTTAACAGCTTCGGGTGAAGCACCGATACAACTCAATTTGTGTAATAAAATCGAATGACTGACACTGTCAAATGCCTTGGATAAATCCAATAAAATTAGTGCCGTTAGATTTTTGTTGTCTATGGCTTCCAACATCGTATCGGTAACAAATATGTTTAAGGTTTCGGTGGAGTGAAGACTCCTATTCCCGCTTTGATGTGACGATATGCGATTAAATTCTTTGAGGTAGGAGCTAAATTGATTTAGAACAACTTTTTCACAAACTTTTGAAACTACCTCGAGTAGTGAGAGAGGCCGATTGTTTGAGGCTATCTCGTGGTCTCCTTCTTTTAGTAGGGGTATAACTTCAGAAATCTTCCATAGGTCAGGAAATGTGCTTGTCATTAGAGAGCAATTTATCATATGCGTAAGAGGACCCAGTATAATTGGAAGACAGTCTTTGATGACACGCATGCCTATTTTATCTGGTCCTGGTGACTTATTACTTGGCATAGCCATGATAATACGTTGAACCTCTGTACAAGTAACGGATTGGAAATTGAACAGTTGATCAGATGGATAAGTGATTACATTTGACAGAGGATTTGACAGTGCAACATTGTTGTCTTTGGCTAAACTTTCGGCTGTCGCAGCAGCGTTCCGTCCCACAGAAGTAAAAAAAAGGTTGAAATCTTCTGCAACTGTTTTTGGATCTTTACTATAAACTTGTGTTTCCTTTTCCTTCGAGGGAATTATATTATTAATTATTTTCCGTAGGGATCTCGAATTGTGTTTATGTTCTCTTACTTCGTTGAAGGTGTGGTCCTTCGCTGCGGCTTTAATTTTGGTTTTTACGTTATTACGATATTCTTTGTAAACTACCCAATCACCTTTATCACGTGTCAGTTGAAACCGACGGAGGTGTAGGTCCCGAGACTTCATGAGTTCTTTTATTTCATTGGTGACATATGGACATGATCGAATTCGAATTTTGAAGGTTTTTAACGGTGCATGCACGTCGAGAGTTGAGTGAAGAACGTCTTTGAAGGTTTCGAGTATTGTATTAACGTTGGTGTTGGATAATATGGATAACAGACGATCCGATTTAGTGACAAGGTCAGAGGAAAATAGTGAGGGATTATAGTTTTTATAACTCCTAGTTGTAATGTAACATGCTGGCATCTTTGGGGCCTTTAACTTTAGTAGGACGTACACTGGTAAGTGGTCACTGATAGAAGTGTTAATAACACCACTCTCAAGAACATGTGCTGTGGATGAGACTAGAATAACATCAATAAGCGTTTGGGACGTCGCCGTGATTCTAGTTGGAGTTTTAATAATCTGTGTGAGATTTAATTCTGTAGAAAAATTTGTTAGCGCTCTCCGCTCCTGGCCGTTTTCTAGCATGTTACAATTTAAGTCACCGAGCACTAAAATCTGTTTATTCAAAGTTAAAGCCTGAACATAATTTGGCTTAAGTAAATCTTCGAAACAATTTAGAGAAATTACAATTTACACAAATTATTATTGATTTGTTTTTTTGGCATTGTAGATTTATCCATAGTTGATGAAAGTTAGAGACCGACAACTTCGATAAATCTTTTAAGACAGTTGCTTTAGACAGTTTCACCCCCTGATAATATTCAAAATGACGAAGGTCCAGGGGGGGAGGAATTCCTCTCAAACACGCATGGCGTCCAGTGCTTCCACAACCGCTCGTTCAAAAGTCCTTTTACAATTTGCAATCTCCAAAATTCCTTTTTCACCCATATGGTGGAAAAAATCAAGAAAATTCAGGCAATCTGAGGCAAATGTATCTTAGATTATCTTAGACCCTACGAGAAATCGAGTATCATCAGTAAAAATTATACATTGCCTGAACGGGCAAGCTTTCAAGTAGCCTGTGTGGCAGACCCTCAATTTTATGGGGGGGGGGCTGATTTGCAGCGGGCAGGATTTTGGCGGGCCAGGAACCAGGGACGCCGGAACTGGGGGGGGCAGAACCAAGACACCGGAACTGGGGGGGGCAGGGGGGGGGCTGCCCCCCTTGCCTTTTGCTAGGGGGGGGCAGGGGGGGGCAGAAGTGTTTAGTTGTAAAATACTACGTGATAAATCACATTTCCAACGATGCTTTTTGTAGGAAAATCATGAGATTGAGGCAATTTATAGTTTATATTTGACTTTTGGTATGTCCGGAAAAAATTTTTGACCCCTAAAATGGTACACTGACCGAAATTTTTTTGGCGACGGGGGGGGGAGGGGCGTCGCCCAAAAATTTTCATTGAAAAAAAATTTTCCGGTAAATTTTGAAGTTTTGCTCTACAGAGGTGCCCTTGGTGTGCGTCCGCCCCCCTTTGCCTTATTATCGTTCCGGCGTCCCTGACAAGAACAGACTGTTTATTGTTTACTTGAAGGAAGAGATGTTTTTGCCGTTATGCCAATGGGGATTGCTTTATATTGTCGTGAGCAACATTACGACTGGGGTAAACTATAGAAACCTTTACTTGAATTTCATTAATTTCAAAGAGACTTGATACGTTATATGTTCCTCAAGAAAAAGATTTTTGGTTGATGTTGAGATGCAGTTGCATGTAAGCCTATTCAAAACACTTTGCGATTTACAAGGTATCGCTGAGAGAGCGAAACAGAAGACGGTATTAAATTGCCGTTTGAAACGAAACGATCTGGACTCTGAACGCTCTCTTCTTTTGTAGAGTTCTTTACCAAATGAAATAACTGAAATAAATTTCATACTTTCCGCCGCCAACAAGAATTGCACACACGATCTGATAAGTGAGACAATTTATTTATAACAACGGCGACAGCACATTTAAATGCTAATGTGGTCGCACGACTTCCCTCACGATTTGAGGTTTGAGACTGGTTTTCTGTTCAAATTCGTCCTAATTTGCCTGTTCCGATTTTAGTTGAAAACGAGCACTTGCAAATTTGGCAATTACTGACTGCGTTGCTTGCTTTTTTGGAGTTAAAACGCAGCCATTTACACATTGTTATGTTCTGAATAAGCAGAAAAAAACCCGCAACGTTTTAATGCGAGTTTGTTTGTTAGAGGGTCTGAATGGGGTTAACTGACTACTGACATTTGCCTGAATTTTTGACTGACAACTGACAAAATATCCTAACTGACTACTGAGAAATGATGAAAAAAATTATAAGTCAGCATTTTGCAGTAACTGACTACTGACAGCTTGCAATATATCGCACTGACAACTGACAATTGGCTTAAATTTTAGCTGACAACTGACACCCAAAGACCCCCATTAAGACCCTCTTGTTAACTGGGTGCTGTCATTGGTTCTTTTTTGACAATTGACGCGCGAATGGGGCGTGTTATGAAAAGGGCGTTTTACAAAATACCGGGCCTTGCTTGCAGGCCCACTATCAGTTCCCGTGGGCCTGCACGCGGGCTACTGGTTATTAATTTCAACCGACCAAATGACCAATACATTTAATATCAGTATAGCTCTAATATTAGTATATTCATGTTGCCACAATAACGTTGAATTGACGTTATTAATTGACCCACCCACTCCAGATAAAGTCGATTCGACGTTATTTATGGCACCCTTAATCGATGAAAGCCAGTCATCGGAAATCCAATTGATCAATCGATAGTAATCGATGTTAATTACATTGGTCAATCGATGACCAATTGATAGTCACAAAAAGTTATGGGCAATTTTGTCGATTATTATAGATATTCATCGATTTTCGTCGATATTTATCGTTTTCTATCGACAAAACGCTTATTATAGTATGTATTAATTAAATTACGGCGTTACCTGTTTGATTGCATGCATATTTACTGCTCAGGGATTTTTTCATCAGTGAAAATCTATAAAACATCGATAATCAATTGATGAAAGGTCACAGCAAAACAAGCCATCGATTATTCATCGATTTCCAATATCAGTCGATTAACAAATATCGATTGGTGTTGATTGATATCAATACTCATCGATTATTCACTGTTTCATCGATTAAGTATGCCGGGATTATAGAGAGGAAGCAGTTTAATATATCATTTTATACATCTCGCATTATATGAATCACTTACAAGTTTAACTTTCAATTTAATTCATTAAGTTGTCATATATCACTGATATGCTCAGCCATTAAACTGACCTGCCAGACACAAACGAAAAGCTCTTGACTGAGCAGTCTCACTAATAGAAACGAGCTAGGCTATCCTGTTTGACCAGCAGCCAGTTAATAGTGAGGCTCAGATTTGACGTCCTCTACCATTAAGGCCATAATGCATTAGTCAAATCTAAGCATGCCCCCGACTTTTGACAAATTTTTGAAATATGCGATTAATTCCCGGGGCGAGGAGAAAGTCGTCGGCGAACACCTCGCCCCATTTCTGGGAGAAATTCTTGGCCAATATATTTGAAATAAACATATTCCATTTCACAAGCAAACTAACTGTATGCATGCATGCTTGATTATTTCAAAAAATTAAAGTCACATTAGGGCCATTTATACGGGACAAAATAAGTCGCGTCTTACATAAGACGCGTCTTATATAAGCTGAGTTATCGCATAAATGGTTCTCTACGGATTTATTCTTATTTACTTGCTCTAGCTATAATGTTGTTTCGGTTGTTTTTGTTCGAATATGCAAGGCTAATAATTTTACGTTGTTTCAAGTTTCGGGCATGTAGTTAGAATTTTTGTCTAAAATTTCTTATTTAAGACGCGACTTAAATAAGAACAGCTAAAAGTCCTGTTCTTATGTAAGACGCGTCTTATCCAAGACGCGTCTTACATAAGAATTTTGTACCTTTTATACGACAAACTCGCGTCTTATTTAAATCGCGTCTTATGTAAGTCGCGTCTTATTTTGTCCCGTATAAATGGCCCTAATATTTTAAATAAACATATTTTAATAATAGAAATATTACAATTGCCCAAGAACTTTCAGCTCATCAAGGGGCTCTTAATTGTTCTATTTACAAGAATTTGGTGTCAAGTAGGTGGTATATATATTATGTCAATTTAAAATTTTCATGAAAAGTTGGAGTAATAAACAAGAGGAAGAAAAAGAGAGAAAAAAAATTAATAAAGGTGTATACGGAAGACTAACACTGGACTATTAAGTAATTAAAAAACGTTTGGAATTAATCTTCTATACTGCTAAGAATAGAGTTCTATTTGCATGAGTGAAAGTCAACTTCGTTACATCCATGCTACTAGCAAGTAATTGAGTTTAACATTATCGTTAGCAATAGCCCAGTGATAGTTAAGACAGTCTGCAGCCGAAGTAAGCAGTTGAGCGCGATTGGCCTGGAAGCGCGAGCAGTCCAACAAGTAATGTTTACATGTCTCTCGGTAGTAGCCGCACGCACAGGCAGGAGATGAAAAGAATAAATACAATTATGTCGAAAGAGATCGTAATTCAAAGAACTATTGTGTAATCGTAATCTTATGTGCAGGATAGAACCATATCTTGAGCCAAGGAAGGAGAGTTTCTAATATCGACAGGAAGAGAATTCCATGCACAAATAGCAGAAGGTAAAAATGATTTTTGAAACCTTCATGTTGAACAAGACATCAGCGAAACATCTTCACTGTTGCGAAGTGAATAAGTGGTTCTGTTAGAGACTGCAGGCAAGGTATTAAGGATGAGAGATAATTAGGTACTAAATTGTTCATCAATTTGTAAAATATAGAAATTTTCAAGGAATCCCAACAAAGTTCATCTAGCAGGGATTGTCTATTAGCACCCTTTATAGCTCCCGTTACTAAACGAGCAGCCTCATACTGTATACACTCAAGTGCATTTATAGTAGATTCATTTGAACAAGCATCCCAAATGAAATCTGCGTATTCCATAACCGGTCTAACTAAGGTGAGATACATGGTGTTCAATGTAGATCTTTTCAGTTTGAACTTCAAGCCTTTCAACAAATTTAATCTTTTTGACGTTTTTTCATAAAATGTGTTTATATGCATAAACCACGTTAGATCATTTGATACAATTGTACCCAAATGACAGTGAGATGTAACATCTGGATTCTGGAATAATTTTATCATTAAGAATAAGTGGAGGATGAGAGTTTTTTTCTTTTTAACTGAAAATACCATAGACCGAGTTTTGGAAGCATTCATTATCACATCCCAATTATTCCCCAATTGGCCACAGACGCCCGTATTCTAAAAGCTCACTCACACTCACACTCAATGAGTGAAGGTTCAATCTGAGCTTCTCTCGAGTGTCAATGCTGTTTTTGAATAGCTGGAGGGTGAGCAGTCACACAGTAAGGTACGACATTAGCCCTCCAGCTATTCAAAAACAGCAATGACACTCGAGAGAGGCTCAGATTGAACCTCCACTCATTGAGTGTGAGTGTGAGTGTGAGTGTGAGTGTGAGTGAGATTTTAGAATACGGGCGAGAGACGAGGTCAGCATTTAGTTTAATAGCAGATTCAACAAGTGACTCGACTATATCTAACAACAACGAATCGTCCGCATATAGGAAAGTCTCCGATTGAATCAGTGTCGTTGACCATGTCATTAATATAAACTAAAAATAGCAAGGGACTAAGAACACTACCCTGAGGCACACCAGCAGTTACATGTTGCCATTCGGAATGGGTATACCTCCAGAACAACTCGCTGTTGGCGTCCAGAGAGATAGCTTTGTAGCCATGTGAGCAAGGGGTCCACTAACTCCTAAACATACTTTAATTTGGATATTAACCCGATATATAACCTAAAATTGTCATATCTTTTTAACGAGTTCGGTGACCCCGACTTTTTTGTGTGATTTTACTTTAGTATATCATAAACTCCATGCCTGAGAAGTTACAGCACATTCTCATTTCGGGAACAATTACTGCGGAATTACCTTAAACAAGTTTATATATAAGCTACACAATCGGAGACAATCGCAAACAATTGCAGAGTAAAATTCACGGTTTACCCTGGTAAAGTCCAGCTAATGCGTAATGTTAGCCTTCGTTATATTTTGAGAACTCGCCCTCTCATGAATTCCTGAACTGACTTTCTCACGGAGACTTTACCGGAGACGAGTTTTCATTAGAATAATGCATGTCGGAGATATGACACAAGTACGATCCGGATTCGCATTCGTTTAATTCATTCGGGGATTACATTCATTTACTTTAATGGGAAATGGCAATAAAAATTACGTTTGATGGTTTGAAAGAACCTTTAAAACTATTTATGAAGAAAATCAGATATTTGAGTACAAAACGACATACTGAAAACATGTACAGGGTCTTAATATATCATCTTTAAAGTTCTTTGAAATAGGACAAACTTAAATTTTATTGCTGTTCCCTTTAAATGGAGTTTTTTCATATACCTCAACCATAGCCTCCCTCGCAGACGTTGATGGGTTTGTTGAAGGGTATGAATCCAAGTTTATTCATTTGTTTGTATTGTTCTTCTAGATTATTTATATACAAATGATTTGTATATTTTGTTTCGGTTTCCTCTGCACAGAAACGAAAGCGTATTTCCTTCTTCCTCTGGGAACGAGCTACCTGCTTGGAATTTACATCAAATTTCGACCAGAGAATGTTTTCAGTTTGCGTTATGCCAGGCGCGTACTTTAGTTTAATTGGAAACAGGGCGCTTATATATTACATAAGCGCCCTGATTGGAAATGAATGAGCGCGGGCAAAATATCAAATTATGCGAAAACAACCGCGCAACCATGCAGCTGACGCAAGGTGAACATTTATAATCAACTTCGAGTCAATGGTTTCCGTAGAGGAAACCGAAAGGTAGACAAAATAAACATTTTGTATATAAAATAATGTAGAAGAACAATACAAACAAGTCAATGGATTTATCAACCAGAGTAGCGAAAACATGTCTGACATTATGCGTGTATGCAAAAATTTCAGACTATAGAAATCTTTGTACGTTTGCATAGCGATAAAACATATGATAATTTTGTTTGTGGAAACACCACGTAAATGTATTACTGCAAAGCTTTCGATCCGTAAGCCCCGGATCTTCATCAGTGCTAATAATATGATTAGCACTATTATTAGCACTGATGAAGATCCGGGCTTACGGATCGAAAGCTTTGCAGTAATAAATTTACGTGGTGTTTCCACAAACAAAACTAAGGTGAGACCATTATTTCTTTGTCAAATATAGACAAATTAATTCATTCGAACCACAATCTTTGAGCCTGACGGTAGCTTAGTGGTTAGAGCCCAAAATCGTGGAATTTGAATGTGTTGTTATTGTTATTTGTGTTATTTTTGGCACCTGTTTGATTATAGGTCATCTCACCATCTAGTCAACTAAATCTTTATTCCAATAACGTACTTGGTCTTGTCCCTGCTGGTATCCAGACATCTGTAGACGTGGAGAGCGAGGGCACATCATCCCCTGACCTTAAACAAGATGAACCGCTTTCAAAGAAAGTATTTGTCTGCGCTATTCACGAGGAACCATGCAAGTACTACTGCCAAGATTGTGAAAGTCTCATTTGCAGCGAATGTGCCATGCGTTGGGGTGACTGCCACGAACACTACTACCTCCGAGTGAAAGACGCTTGGAAGAAATACCGCGAAGAAATGATGAAGATATTACAGGAAGCTAGATCAAGTGTTTCACACATACAACAAGATATCTTGGAAAACTCGAAAGAACGGGACAGCTTCAAGTTAAAAGTTGAATCTACGATCAAGAAAATCAACAGCTTCTTTGACGAGCATGTGCAAGCTTTGGGAAAACGGCGTACAAACTTTTTAGAAACAGTGGAAGAGATTATGAAATTCCGAGAGATTGGAATAAACCAAGAAATTGATAGCCTACAGAATAACTTAGTTGAAACAAACAGCACTATCAACATCGCAGGTCGTGTGTATGGAACTAGCACTATGATGGAATTCCTACAGGTTTGCAAGCAACTTACAAACCGCCTTCTCGAACTGGGACATAAAAAGATCAAGTTGAATATTACAGAAAGTATTGACATTGATTTTATCTCGGAGCCTCACTTGTTTGAAGAAATTGAGAAAGTTGGTCAACTAAAGAAACACAAAGATTCTTCCGCTACAACACTGTTTCCACGTGGAAATGGTGTGAATGGAACGGGAGGAGAAATGCCTAAAAGTGATGAAGGGATGAGATCGAACGCTGACGATCCGAGGAAAGTTGAGGAAAATGAACAGGACTCGATGGATTCTGTAGTCGGAACATCAACAGAAAATTTATCCGAAAGCACGTCAGCCAAAGATACCAATGACGCACCAAGAAAACACTTGTTGAAAAACGCAGAACATTCTGTTCCACCAGGCGGTTTTATTAAATCATCCACCAAGATTAACGATCAGACAATTATGAATCAGGGAAGACATAGTGTGAAGAATGAGACTGAAGAATCGGTAAAAATGAAACCGATTGAAGAACTTAAAACAGAAATGAATTTCGGGCAACAAGCACATCCTGGAGTAGCGTCTGAAGAGCCAATTATTAAACAAGAGACAACCGCCGAGCAGCACTCGAGATCTACAGCGAGTGGCCAGAAGGAAATAACTGATTGTGAAATCACGGACTGTTCTTGTGGCCTTGCTGATAAAGTGGACCACCGAAATGGTTTACCTAGTGAAGGGGAAAGAGTAGCGGCAGCTGAAATTCCGCTGAAACAAAAACCTGCGGCAGAGCAACAGCATGCTCGGCGACATAGCATGGACGATGTATTCGGTATTCGCAGCAAAAAAGAAGAAATACAGCGTCGACTCGGAAACATTGCCAGATATCGTCCACCCAAATCAGTCGCGCAGTTCCTGGACGAAGGTGAGCGCT